CATAAACACAATATTAGCTTTGTGGCAAGCGTGGCGCATTTTTCTTCTGTGACTTGTCAGCACGTGATAAAAATACAATATACTTGTACATATTGATTTCCTAAATAGCCAATAGCATTTATCCGAAAACTTTCACAGTAATTTATTTTAAAAATACATCAGTTAGTAGGTATACATGTATGTTGGTATCTTCTTAATATATATAATTCTTCTGTACGTGTGTTAGTCACCTAACTCCCCCTAAGCGGCTGGACCGATTATGATGAAATTTTGTGTGTACGTTCGATTGGGTTCCTGCAAGGTTTAAATTTTCGATAGGTGCGCTGCAGTCAGTTTGTCAACAAATTATTATTAGTTATAACATAAACCCAGAGTTTTCTTTAGTAGTTTGAATGCGGGTGAAGCCGCGGGTACTGCTAGATTTATATAAAATTTTCAACAATTCAAATGACTTTAATCATTTCTAACCGTTGTATTCGGTAAACATATAAAATGTAAATAGTGTTATTTATGAAAATGCACTAGGAACTCTTTAGGTAGGTACCTAATTGATGAATAAAATTATGTAAATAACACCATCTATCATCTTTGTTTTCTTCTTTCTGATGAAATCTTCTATATTCACAGCGATGATGACGATAAAACGTTGTATCATATCCATACTGATATTATGAATGTGAAAGTGTTTGTTTGCTTGTTTGTCCTTCTTTCACGTCGAAACAGAGTGACGATTGGCGTGGTTTTCTGTGTGGAGATAGTTGGAGGGATACATCCTTATTAATACTTATGCAAAATTATCATAACGAGGGAAAGAAGGTAGATAAGTAGTTAGTCAAATTACCTACTTAATGCCATTGTTCATCGACCCATTCCATAACGTTTGATACCTCCTTTTGTGTGGATCATGGAAATAAGAAAAAAGTAGTTGCTTATTACATCATTTTACTTATAAATTTATTATTTATTTAAAAAAACTATATTATACAGTGTTTTAAACTTTTTTTTTTATATTATTCCTGTGTTTTTTTAATTTAACTCTAATTTAGTTTTAATACGTCAGTAATAATACTATTTTATCTTTTAGCTTAGTTTTTAATTTATGATGATAATTCAAAAACTGAAATTCGCATAGCATTTTCAATACGTTCGCAATGTCAGAAAAGAAATTTTATATTACTTATAGGGGGCCATCTATAAATTACGTCACGCGTCAAGAGGGGAGTGGGTTGTCAACGAAATGTGACATTGTGAAATGTGAATTGTGACAAACGAAGTGTGACAAGAGACAGGGGGAGTCGTAAGTCGACGTCACATGTCAAAATCTATTAACATACGAAACATTAACTGTAAACGAAAAAAAGATCTTTCTTTACGCTATATTGTTTTGTTGGCCAGTTCTCGCTGGGCACGCTGTTGATGTTGATATTATTAAAAAAATATATTTGGAACTGCTGTTTTTATTTTATTCAGTTCTGGGTGTAAAATTGCAAAAAATGTGACGTCACACCAGGGGGGAGGCTCCCACAAACAACAAACCTGTGACAAGGAGGAGGGAGGGGTTCAAAAAATCATTAGTCGTGTGACGTAATTTATAGATAGCCCCTAATAAATATTTGGCAATGAAACATCAATAATTTGTTTATTTGCGTTTAATCGATACAAGTTTAAATACATTGTGCACATTTAATAATCTTAACAAATAACCATTTTAGGCTTAAATATGGCGTTGAAAAATCATATTAAATGTATTATTGTCCAGATATACATATAGCTTGCAATTCCTAGCCCACTACTTCACACTATACTTCTGTGAGTGATGTGTGGCTCGATCTTTTTAATTTATAAATAAACTAGCATTGTCCGCGGCTCCGCCCGCGTTCAGATGACCGAAAGCCAAATTCTTAGGTTTTACTTATTAGTATACTCTTACAATGCAGTTTTTGTATCTTTTTTCTCAGAAATGAGATATTTTCCCGCGGTAAAAAGTATCCTATACCCGGATAGCCAGCTATCACCTTACCAAATTTAATCAAAATCCCTCCAGTGATTTCCTGTGATGCGGTAACAAGCAGACAGACAAACTACTGACAGACAGACAAAAATTCTTAAAACTATAGATCCGGCCTCTGTATCGATAATAAAGTCTATTTTAATAAAATTTCCAAAAAAAATATTTAATGTACAGATTCGGCTCAGTTACAATTTTATTATATGTACACATAAAATAAATATGTTGGGATATTAACACAGCACTATCTACTTAGATGGTAAGCTTCACATATATATAACATTAAAAACATAGATATTATAAATATAAACACTCATGACTGGAGTGCAAGCATTTGTGCTCATTACACAAATAATTGACCTTCGCGGGACTCGAACCCCCGACCACTGGCACAGCAAGTAGGGTCACTACAAATTGATTTTTTTAAAATTATTATTTATTACTAACACAAACATGAATCGCTAATCGTATGCCGTTAATAAACCGATAATAATAATTATCTATTAGCTGCTGTAGCGAAAGTTTTAATTTATTGGTGACATACTAAAGTGTTTTTATGACAAAAAAAAACAATACTTGTACATACATTCATAGGACTGATATAAAGATCATCTTAAATTAAAATAATTTACACTTACAATAAAGTACATGGACATTGGACATTCAAATTAATTGTTTGATCTTAAATTAAAATTTGTATATTACCTAATGTTTACATTTATCTGGTTTTGATATCTATCGGCATTCTGTGTTAGCGTTAACACGTCACGTGACCATGTCGATGACGACTTACATGAATTTACTCCCCATCCAAGCCTGCCTATAGAAGTTTTCACTTCAAAAACAATCTTATTCGTACAATTTATTTTAAAAATAGCTTTTGGTTATATAAAAAAATATGATATAAAATAAAACAAATGAGTAGATTCTTATTAAAAAATCATCTTTAAATATACAAACGAAAAAATGATAGGTACGTAACAGTTGCTAAGATTTTTAAAGATCATAAAGAAAAATTAATGAAAAAAAATATTACAATTAATAGTATCAAAGTTAATATGGCAAAATCTAATCTGCTATAAAACTTAACCTAATAATAACATGCAATATACGTATAAATAAGTACAATAAAAATAGAAAATGCTCAAAAATCCAAAACTTTATAAACTTCTAAGAAGAACTCCAACAAATATTCAGTCTTACTGTTGGTCTTTTGACCAAAATATATTTACCTACAATTAGATCAACACGTAACGACTTACATTCAAAAGTCGATTGCGTAAATTGGAAACGAAATAAACTCTTTAAATAAAATATTTAACTATAATATTTAAAATAACAATAACTTGTAACATCTACCAACTACTATTTTTATCAGCATTTTATATAAAAATTTTAAAAATATACAATATTTTGTGTTTATATTATACGTAGGTACATATGACAAAATATTTATATTATATATCTAAATATTTGGTATACATTGTTTTGGTTAGGTTAGTATACTATTATAATTTTGCTATATTCTATCCCTTACTAAATTGAAAATCTTACAAAAATTTTATGAATACCTACTTTAATATTAAAATGTACAGACTATTTATGCGAGCTATATCGAGTTCCTATCGTGCATTTTTAATGCAAAGATTTTTTTATAAAAATAATAACATAATGACTATATGTAAGCCACTCACAACAATCTAATTTATAGTGTTATATTATTTAAAAAAATATATATTTACCAAATTCAACAATGGCCACCAGCACCATATAAAAGAAATATTATTACTAAACGAAAATGTTGCCCCCCTCTGTGTCTTAAAAGTAGGGTTACCACATTTTATATTATATTTGGACTATTTAAAAACTATTCATTATGAAACGCATTCGCATCCGACTAAATAAAAAAGTTCAAAATATTAAGTAATATTTAAATAATTTAACGTTAACACTATCTAAATTTATTTTAACAAATTCTTTATCTATTTATAACAAAAAATTACAAATAGATTTTGGCACAAAGTATCTAATTTTTTTTTATATAATTCTAGTTGCATACGAGTAGTTTATTTATTAAATACTAATAAGAATATTATAAACATACAACAAATATTAATAGAGATTGTGCTTAATATTAAACACGCATTATTTATATCCTATATGTTGGACCGTTCTAATGAATTCACAGAAGAACAGAAGTATTAATTTCGACAGACTTTAGTTGACTTTTTATAAAATAATACCTGATTTCTAATAAAATAAATTGAGATCTATCTTCTTGAGCACAGTTTTGCTAATTAAAGTTTTGCTTATTTAAAGCCAATATAAATAATTGGAACCTAACTTCCGGTTGGGTACATTAGGCATAAATTTTAAGAATAATTCATTTCTTAATAATCGAACCGATCCAATCGGTTTCAATACGAACAAGACTTCTACTCAGAAACGATGAAAATGCTGACATTTTCAGTTTTATATAATATTTAAATATAAATATTACGTATTTTTATCTTTTCACAACATATATTCTTATTAGTAATATAGTAATTGCAATAAATCTATAATTATAATATATAAATTAGTAATTTGTGATCCTCCATATGTACGAAGAAGAATTAATTGTCTTGTAAACTAGTTATTTATATCCTTTACGGGATTTTGCATAGGGCCTGTACACACTGCGAAGTGCACGTACTGTACACACAAGCCTGTGTATCTAACAGCACCAAATGTACCATTTTTATTTTATATCTACATTTAATTTTATAATCCAAATAGTTAATACCTTTCAATGAATATCGATTTTTAGAGACAAAAAAGGAATTTCAATCTGTAAAGAAAATCAGTTCAATATAAAGCGCCTCATAAAAATTGTTCAAAAACAATCTAGACTAAATAAACTTTAGACATTACGGCATTATTCATTGCCGTCCAGTTTATCCTCAAAATCTTATACGGAGGAACGATCAGCGTTACTGGAAGCAGCCTCTTAATCGCTGTCCTCATCCGTACTGCCTTCAGTATAATACTCTTCAAAGTTATCGACAATTAAGTTAAAAATTTCATTAAAATTACTACTATCGATACCATCGTTTTCTTCTATTACTTCCAAAACATGTTCAATCTCGCCATTAATCTGAAAAATTTATAAACACCTACCGTAACGTATTTGTACTATAAACTCACCAATACGAGACGCTTTCGATTTATTAAAAAAAAGTTGTCTATTAAAGCAGTCTTGTTATTAGAACATGTTGGCTCACGTCATATCTTTGATGGGTGCGGATTCGAATCTCACACATACACTTGCTGGTAGTGGTCTGAATATTGCATGTCTTCTTACAACTTTATGTTTGTGAGCGATGATTATATATTATAAATAATTCATATAAAGCGATGCGAAATTGCAAAAGTCTTTAAATTCGCTCATGCTTAAGTCATATTTAGCATTCGCATTTAGCATAATCGCAGTACAATAGAAAGAACAAACGCAAATATATTGTTCAATTGCTACGCACAGCATTTCTTTATTATTCATAATATATAAATAGTTATGTATGTACACATAATGACGAAATATGAGAGTAAAACTTTTACGATGCGCGCGCACACCGACAGCCAAAAAGCGACATGATTAAGTTAGCCGATTTCCTTTTACAAACATATAATATGTGACATACGGGATGACATCTTTAGGTATTTTTGTTCTGTTACGCTAAAGAAGTATAACTTCTTATGTGCGTACATACGTACACACGCACGTTTTTTTCTCGTATCTAATTATTTATTTCTAATTCAATATGACCTTTATTGTTATAAAAAAAAATAAAAAATATGACATAAATATTGACATAAATTATGAAATATTTATGCTTACCAATAAATTATCGTATGGCATAGTATTGTTTATCACTGGAAAAAAAATATACAAAAAATATTATAAAATGCAAGCTATTATTGTTTATAATAAATTAGTTAAGCATATCATATCATCATTTTTGTGGTCATTTTCCAAATGACGATGATGGCATTAGGCGAATTTCATGATATTTATTTATTACCAAACTTATATATTTACTCGCATTGCCCGCGGCTCGCCCCGCGTTTAGATGAGCAGAAACCAAATTCTTAAGTTTTACATATTAGTATACCCTTACATTGCAGTTTTGTTCTTTTTCTCAGAAATGAGATATTTTCCCGCGGTAAAAAGTATCCTATATTATATATTGACCCGGATAACCAGCTATCACCATACCAAATTTCATCAAAATCCCTCCAGTGGTTTTTCTGTGATGCGGTCACAGACAGACAGTCAAAAATTCTAAAAACTATAGATTTGGCCTCTGTATAGATAAATTTCAATAAGATTTTCTAAAAAATATTTATTGTACAGATTCGGCTTAGTTACAAGTTTATGATATGTACTATGTAATACACCTGGTATTGGGAGGGATGCCAGCTATTAATTCAAAATGGATTACATTTGAAACCACACACAAAGCAGCTTTGCACCTGAATTTAAACCCCTATCCCCATATCTCACTATCCTAAGGGACTTAAAACCACCCACACTAGCTAGCTTCGCTCGGATTCGTATTAGGTCGATTCCCTATACAAACCTTTTTCCCCATTTTCACCCCCTTACGGGAATATTTCCGGAATAAAAAGTAGCCTATGTCGTTTACAGGGTCTCAAACTATCTTCTTACCAAATTTCATCTAAATCAGTTCAGTAGATCCAGAGATTACCCCCGACAACCTCACAAACTACCTCTTTATAATATTAGTATAGATAATTAAGGAGTGTATTTGTATCCATTTTTTTCGAATATTATTTTTGATGAATTAAATAAATAAATATACATAAAACATATTATTAGTTATCTTTTAAATTATCCAAATCGGTTTAAACGTGGATTTTATCAATTTTACTGCCAATACAACCTTCATAAATCTTTATCCAATCGAATTTACTTTATTTATATCTGTCAAATTAATAGTAGTATAATTATATTTCATACTTACACTCAAGGCAGAGCATCTCATCAATTTCTTTAGGCAAACCATGTTTCTTCACTTTCTTTTTAAGCTTCATTTTTTCTGCTTTCTTTGCCACCTTCTCGTACTGATATTTACGTTTAACTCCAGATGTGCTGGGGATAGGGTCTTGTGAATATGCCAAATTGAAACAAGACGATTGTTGTAGACTTTCTACCATGGGGTTGTTTCTTTCTGGCGCGTTTATCGTTTGGGCATTTGATAACTGAACAAGGCTGCTTGATGGTCGTGGAACGTCAGAACAATTTAAGTTTTGTGAACTATGGCCTGGTAAGATCGCATTAGATGAACCAGCTATAGAAACTGTGATCCTATTTGTTGTAATTGTTTCCGCCCAGGAATAATTTTGGGATACCGTTGGAAGATTCACCTCTGTATTAGCGAATCCGTAAAGTACTTGTTGGATATTTTCGGGCTTAGGATTTTTTTTATTTTCTTTTCTTTTTTCCCCCGCCATTGTAGAACAACAAGAACGGATTACACTGTAACTTTTGGCGATGGCTTCATGTATTTTCTCTTTCCTTGGTGGTATTATAGCAAGATGTAAGGAAGATGAATCACCGTGGCCTTGTGGAACTAAGGTTTCACCGTAATCTGGTTTTGGCGACGGCAAATCGGTTACCAAATGAAGTATAACTTTCTCCAGTAGCGTTGGATCTTCTACAGGCAGTGTCACTTTTTCGTTTTCCTGTAACATTCACAATTTAAGTAAAAAAAAAATATAGTATTATAATAAGTATGCGAAATAAAATGCAATTATAAGTTATATATTAATATTATTATAACCTGAAAAAGTTTAATAAATCTAGTATATATAATATACTAGCTACTAACCCTCGCTCCGCTCCTGCTCGCCCCTAGGTATATTTTAACGGTTAGCATAGATTTCTCAGAGATGTGATATTTAGTAAAAAGTATCCTATATGTTCACCCGCTTAAACAGCTACCATCATACCAAATTTCATCAAAATCTGTCCAGTGGTTTTCTCGTGATGTGTTCGGACGGACACAGACAGACGACAGACAGACAGACAAACATTTTAAAAACTATAGATTCGGCCTCTGTATCGATAATAATGTCTATTCCAGAACCCGAGCGAAGCGAGGATGAGCCGCTACTAAGTACATTATTATAAATGTGAGTTTGTGAGGATAGTGTTTGTTACTCTTTCACACCAGAACGGCTAAACATATCTGGACGAAAACCACAGACATAGATTATAGTCTGAAATAGCATATAAGTTACTTTTTATCCCGGAAAAATGTATGGTTCCCGTGGGATAGATTTGTTTTTGCCTACGGACGAACACGAAGCGAATTGAGGTTGAGTCGCTAGTAAGTAATAAAAGTACTAAGTATATTTTATCGATAACCAGATTTTCTCGCGACTCCGTTCATGTGATGTGTTTAGTTTTGTGCAGTTACATGGTGTAGAAATAACAAAAACATTTACTTTCGTACTCACACGTTCTCTAAATATGTATTTATAATTTTAGCGTGATGGTGCCTTACACAAAGCTAAAATTATAAATTTATGCTCTGTATTGACATTTATTGACATATGACCAAATTTTTTTATTATTTACTAGCATTGCCGGCGGCTCCGCCCGCGTTCAAATGACCAAAAACCAAATTCTTAGGTTTTACATATTAGTATACTCTTACATTGCGGTTTTTGTATTTTTCTCCGAAACGAGACTTTTTCCCGCGGTAAAAAGTATCCTATATATTGACCCGGATAACCAGCTACAATCATACCAAGTTTCATCAAAATCCCTCCAGTGGTTTTCCGTGATGCGGTAACAGACTGACAGACAGACAAAATTTCTAAAAACTATATATTCGGCCTGTGTATCGATCATTATGTTTATTTCAATAAGATTTTCCAAAAAATATTTAATGTACAGATTCGGCTTAGTTACAATTCTATTATATGTATAGGTTGTATTTTATTTATCAAGCCAAATTGAATGAAAATAAGTAGATACTATAGACAAAAAAACGCAAACAATAAGAAGCACGGGCTTCATTTGTTATAACCTCTAGCAAGCAATACTGAATACATCAATACTTCCTCACGGACTGACCACTGACGCTTACAATTCAAAAGCATTTGTAATAAGTATAATTAAATAAAGTTAATTCATTTCATTTCATCCGTTTTTTAAAGTGTCTGAATAACCTATTTAGTATTTAGTTAATTCGTCAAATTAAGTATATTGTTAATTACCGTAACGTATTTAAAATAACTTTGACATATTAAAATTTACACCAAACTTAAATGGAATCTGAGAATAACATGGAATACTAAATATTTTTCTAATTTAGCACATTCATACATAGGTATTTTTAATAAAAAGTTTTATGAAAATATTTACATAGCTCATTATTAATTGTTAATAATAATTAAATCATATTTCAAACAAATGAGTAGCTTGACGACATACTTTTTATTTATTAAACAACTAAGTTTGGAAAATTAAAGCCAATAGTGTGCAAATTTAATGTAATAATAGCTAATAAAACTTACCGAAAGTAACATTTAAATATTTGAAACATACTCCACAAACAAACACAGCACAAATTGTCTATACAATTACGCAAAAATTCAAAATCTAGTTAAACTTAAACTCAATAAAACAAAAAAATCTCTCGCGCTTCACGCTTGTAAACAAAATATTCAGTGCTACCAACACTTAAAATCTTATAACCCCATAGGCCTTAACTGACAATTTGAAAAATGTGACTTTACCAAATTTTTTTTATTTTAAATTATTACAGTAGCTTAAAAACTTATTTATGGTCATTATAATAATAATTACATATAATCATTTAATAATAATAATAAATTTCATAGATAACAAACATATGATTTTTCCAAGACTTTAAACTTTATAAACCCCTAAATAAAACCCTAAACATTATTCGGCATTCGCCTCTAAAAAACCCCGCAGCAATTTTTTTGGGGCAAAGCCCCTAAGTTGGCTACACTGAAATTAGTTAATATTTCATTCAAATAATAACATTGCTTGCCGCGCTTGTCATTGGTCAATTAGTGACATTTTGTAATTTATAAGATCTGTCATCTAACCAATCACAACTCACAAGAACTGTAGAATAAGAAATTCAGACTTCAGAAGCGACTTTTCAGTTTTCGAGTAAATATTAAGGTAGTAATAAAAAACTAGTACGCATGAATAAAATGTTAAAAATAAATGACGCCATGTGAGTGTGACAACGTTCAATCCAAAAGTATGAACTATGAATGAAATTCAATTTAGTATGAACATGGTAAGCTAAAATACAACGTCTTATCGTCGCATTTCTAAGCCACAACAATTTGACGTAGTAATAATAGGTTGATTTTTTATTTACTAATTTTTTACTTGATCTGAGACTAATTTAAGTAAAAAAAAATATTTATAATGAATAATGAATTATTAGATTTCTAAAAGGTGAAACAGTAGAAATCGTCTTGTATGGATCCTTCGCCACTGGTGTTTAAATATGTCAGTAAAAACAACATAAGATTCGGCGATACGGAACAATCGATGCGCGGATCAAAATCGTACTGATGCACAAATCACAATTCTTAATTCTACACATTTGAAAATCATTACATCCATCAAATTATTACTAGCAGTCGCCGCGTGGTTGAAAATCAACCATAATTCATAAGTTTGATCGACATTGAGATTCTTTTTTAAAGTTATATAAATGATAAATATTATTTAGCCTATAAAATCCAAAAGAATTTTGAAACAAATTACAAACAATATTAATCTATTCTCAATTTGACCACAGACTTTAACAATAAACAAAAAAAAAATTAGCATTCTGCACTCTTTCTCAACTATAAGTGTGAGAAATTTCATCCTTCTCCATCCGCGCAAAATTCGTAAATAGGGATAAAAAGTTTTTCCTTCACGTATTAATATATAGATTAGCATAAAGCCAAACAGTTTTTTTTGTAGTTTTAGCGCGAGTGAAGTCGCGGCTTCTTCTAGTGGATACATACATAATAATATTAAATAAAAATAAAAAACAATTTTCAAAATATTTTTTTTATTCAATGTCTTTACAACTTAAGTAGGTATTAATTGAAAAATAATAAGTAGTACCTACACGATATATTTTGTGGATTCTAAAATGGCGGGTAATTCATGCAAAATTGTTAAATAGGCACTAGTTTAGATAGATACCGACAAAACATTTAAATAAATATTTGACCGTAAATTAATTACCTGTATTTTTTCTTACGATGCAAATTGGGTCGCGTATACTTAACATATGAGCACAACAAAAATATTTTCCGTCTTTAAAAAATTGTATCCATTTTACATTTATATCTACATATATCAATAGAGTTGTTTGTATTCACGATATTATTCTTAAAGGCTGCTACTGTACAATATTATTTGGCATTTGTTTAACTAATTTTTACTAATTTTGTTGGTAAGTTAAACAAAAGGTACCAATCTCCAAATTGTACATTATAAGAAATACGTAAATCGTAATCATTACTATACATATTTAAACTATATAAAAATAAGCATAAAAACTTTAAATCGATTTGCTATAATACTTACGTATAAGATCTGAAAAATCCAATCTGATTTTCAAAGTTTGACAACAACAAAACTGGAATACCCGAAGTTTTTTCAGCGATTACCAAGAAAATAATTTTAAATCGAATAGTACGTAACTTTGTTTACGCTAGAAGATACACGGACTTCTCAATTTTTAATTCACAACACGACTCAGACGTTGAACTTCGACGTCGGCGGACGGAAGGAATGCCGGTAACCAATGTTGCCAACCAACACTCATTAAAGAAAACGTGCTAAACTGACTTTAAAAAGCGCTAGATTTGGTCATTTTTCGAAAAAAGCGCTAAATTATACGAACAATAAAAAAATTTGGTTATTATATTATTTTTAAATTTCGTAATTAAAAGTTACACTAAAAGACAAAAATTATCTACAAATTTATTAATAGCCAATCTTCTTCATCGTTAGAAACTTCTTCTTGTACAATTGGTACCTAATCATGACTTACATTTTGTATTTTTTTAATATGTAATACAATAAGAAATTAACATAGTAAATTTAACCTGAAAATGATGTACCAGAGGTACAAAACCTTTTGAAAAAAAAAATTGAACCCATAAAATTGTTTTTGCGGTCTCTGTGTTCTGTGTGTTCTTTGGCTGTGTTTATGAGCAGCAAATAAAGTTAGTAATCGTTTCTAATCTTTAAAAAACGGGGTATAGTCTTTTTTTTATTTATGGGGCTCTGGAGGCTTGTTGTTTTATTTTTTTGAACAATTCCTTTTACATGTTGATATTTCAAAGGAGAGAAATATTGTTTAAAAAGCGCTAGATTGGGCGCTAAGCGCTATATTTTTGTTGAGCGTTGACGAACCAAAAAAGCGTTAGATCTAGCGCCGAAAGCGCTATGTTGGCATCACTGCCGGTGACCGATGCTTTTCGTTCTACCCACACCATGATAAATAAATTATTTGAATTTTATAACGCTGTAAGCGCCAGAATATGTACACGGAGTTTACAAAATTTTCCCTAATTATTTTGTGTCATATTTTGTAATTATAGTTACTATCTAATAATCATTAGAGAAAAATGTGGGTTTAACACTCACAATCGAAGCTTGTATTTGTATATTTGGCGGTAGGCGGAGCTGAGCCTCATCTGCCCATGTACCTACTACATAAAATAAGAATTCCTCATACAATACTTACACGATTTGTTAAATACATAATTATGTATACATATATTAGTTAGTAAAGTAAAATTTTGTACTGTAAATACAAAATGACTATTTCAATAAGATTTTCCAAAAAAAAAATTAATGTACAGATTCGACTGAGTTAGAATTTTATTATATGTATATATAAATATTTTATAGGTCTATGTACGAGTATATATGTTTTTATGTATGTATGAATTTTGATTTCGAAAATATCTGATTAGGTAGGTATCTATAGTGAATTGAAACCCCCATTCATTTATTTTTACTTTTTAGTGCCTGAAAGATTTTTTCGGTTTAATTTTTTTCTTTCGATCTTTCTTCTTTTTTTAATTTCGATTGGCCTCATTCTCATTATACAATTATTTCAAGTCAACCGTCGTACAAACGTCAACCACATTTGCATCTTTAAATGAAAAAACTCGTTCGCCATTTAAAGATTACTTTGCATTGCATTTTACCTTTTGTAGCTATCATTGAAACGTTATGTCAACTACACTACGCGATCAATCTAACGAAGAACATAAATATATTTATTAGGAGTATTATTGCACTCACTATAAATAGTTTAAAAGTAGTTATTTTTTCAATTTTATACGTGATCTGTAATTTCTTAGCTACTTTAAAATCCTTGACTAATAACTTGTTAACTTATTTTGCTTTTTAATATTGAATCTATAATTGAAATAAAAATTTATTATAATAACAAGTTGATTGTATTAAATATATTTTTTGGTGAAATGTTATTATATTTTGACTTCAAAATACGTTTTGAGGTAGTACAAAAAAGATATTTAAACACTTAATTGAATCATTTTCTTTACAAATTAAATCACTTTTTATTATAATAACCTTTGCAGAGAGTAAATTCAAACTTACATTATATTAATATGTTTACTATAATTAAAATTAATGAAGTCAGCTGTTTTAGAAACTAAAAAAACATTTTTTTTCAATACATACATTTTAGTGACCTCAAACAACTTCTTGAGCCCTTTTTATATTCTATGGGAACTGGAAAATATTTTAGAAAGTATAAAGGTGAGATTTTGAAGAAGACACTCACCTCTGGTATTTCTTCTCCTTCCCTTGGGTCCTCGGCTATGTTAGCCCTTAACGTAAATTTCTTTTTCATAAGTTTTATAAGTTGTTCTCCTTCTTGCTCAGCGACCACGGTATTGGTACATACGAAGCTTGTTACTGCATTCGATGTCTGGTCTACGTCTAAACGTCCAAGAGTTCTCATATAGATGAACTGACCGTTTTTTGTCATTAAACGATAGCAAGATTCTCCTACTAAACGATGTTGGTCGTACACTGTTGACAAATTTTAATATTAAGTAATACTTTATTTATGACTAGAGATTTACCCTCGCTTCGCTCGGGTGTGTCCCTAGGTACGTTTCAATTTTTTTCAGCGGAAGCCTATATTTTTTGCTAAAATAAAAGTAGCCAAGTTACTCCTTATAACATCACACATCTGCCAGTGAAAGTCCCATTAAAATCAGTCCAGCCGTTTCGGAGATTAACTGAAATAAACAGTCAGACAAATATTTTAAAAATAGTGTTTTTCTTATAAGTACCGTATTTAATTTAATATGCATTTAGTAAAAAGCTGCAATTTTGACAATACAAACAGACACTTCAATTTTAATTAAATGTATCGATTAGATTTTAGCCCTTTCGTATTTTAATATGAAAATACAACTTTTATATAGACAGATCTGTTATATACAATAATAAAAAAATCCGGACAAGTGCGAGTCGGACTCGCCCACCGAGGGTTCCGTACAAATTTGTAGGAAATCTGTTTAACTTTAATTTTTGATTGATTTGTTTCGCCTGTTTTATTTTTACAGAAAAATGTAGTAACTGAGATTATCCCCTACAACGTCACAAACTCACAATTGACAAACTTTACCTCTTTATAATATTAGTATAGACAAGAGTTTTAAAAAAATTAAAGAGACGAAATAGTTTTATTGCCTCAGCGGTATTTTTTAAGCGGTAGTGCTTTTCTCTCACTGATATTTTATTAAGACTAGCATAAAAGATATATAAATTAGATAATTAATTATAATTTTTCAGTGCTAGTAAAAACGCTTGCACTGCTTATAAATTAAATCCAGAGACATCATACATCACAATAACAAATAGGCTACTATTTATCCCGGAAAAAGTTACGGTTCCCGTAGGATAGGTTTGTTTTTATTTTTCTAGAGAGAATTTTATTTTCCTTTTAATAACGGTATTAGAGCTTTTCCAAAGTTAAACAGTATTTAAGTTTCAAAAAGTCACCCATAACATTATAATCTTTACATATAGTTTTATTTATATATTTTTTATTCTATCATATAATAAAATTCTAACTGAATAATATATAAAAAATATTTAATGTACAGATTCGCTGTACATTAAATATTTTTTATATATTATTTATTTATAGAGGCCGAATATATAGTTTTCAGAATTTATTATCTGTCTGTCTGGGAAAGCTTCACGAGAAAACCACTGGATGGACTTTGATGGCATGGTGATAGTTGGTTTTCCGTGTCAACATATATGATACTTTTTACTGTGGGAAAATATCAAATCTCTAAGAAAATATAAAAACTGGTTAGTATTAAACTAAGCCGAAACTATAAACATTTTAGCAAGATAACTTACAAAATAGGTCAAGATATAATTAAAAATGGCTTCTTTGAAAAAAAAAATCAATTGCGATATTCACACACAAAAAAAAACTCGACAGATATTTAGTTAGGTGTAATTTAGAAATTCATTACTAGATGTCACCATGTGTTTTAAAAATACGAAATTTTAATTTGTAAACAAAATATGTACAGATATGACGTTTATATGATTTTTTAGGATAAACCCACTCTGACAATGTTATTCAAATTAAAATATGTGTAAATTTTTGATATTATTTTGTAAATAATGATAATGTTTGTAAATTTCTAGCAGTGGAATATCAAAAAAGGGCTGAACTGAAACTCAACCTAGGGGTTGAGTTCTAGAGTTGAATTTATTTCAGAGTTTTCTAAGACTCAACCTAAGACCTAAGATGGTAAAATAGGAGATGAAAGTTCTTATGAAACCCACTTTTAAGAGTTTAGAGAGCGAAGCCGTGGGTTCTGCTAGTTTTATTATAAATTCCATCATTCGATACTTTAAGCCCTTATCATTGCATATATTACACAGACGTTTACATTACATAATAAACTATATATAATTAAGCACTATTAGTTAAAATGATTATAATATTATCATTTAAACAACCTAGTCAGTTATACATACTCGTATGTACATAGAAATTAAAAAAATCACATCTGTACAAAAGTTTGTGATCTTATATATTTTTGAAAATACTATTAACTAGCTTATATCTATAAAATCGTTCCAAATAATTAGACTAGATGCTCTATATAGAGAGCATTAAGGCCCGCCTTTAACCATCTAGGCACACCGGACAAAACATTCCTTATAATCATTAATTGTAATCCGGGGGAGTTGCCGTTGGATTTCAGTGGGTATTACTGGCTTTAACATACAGATTGTAATGCCTATCCCTATTAACATTGTCGGATGTGAAAATCGGTAACTTTACAGGAGAGTGCGTCAAAGTTTGAATTGTTGATATTTTTTTAACCCTCAAGAGAAGCACTATCGCTGCTGCGCGATCCAGAAGCAGTGGGTATGCCATACCCGCGTGTCTTTGATTAATAATATCTTTCGATCAAATTGTCCGATATAGAATTTTTTTTTTTCATTTTAAAGCTTAGACAGTGTAGATTAAGAATATATCCATAGAATTGTCATAAAGAAAAAATTATCTTGAATAATATAGAAAAAAATCAACATAAACCCTTAAAATGAGGTGTTTTATTCAAATTACCATATCTAGGCAGAATTTATAGATAAAAAATTTTTCCCGACGGCATTTGAAAGGGAATTAAATGTACTTTTAGATAGTTATTTCGTCATTTAACTGTAATTGATAAAAGATATTTATTTAGTTAGGTAAAGTTCAGTGTTTTTAGAATGATATTACTTAATTAAAAAATATGGATTCATTATTCTTTTATTAATACAAACATTTAAATTACTTTATAAAACTTATATTTTAAATGGATTAATGCTACAAAAAATTAAGAATATAACTTCAAGCTACATTTTTCAGCTTGGTCGACCACGTTTCCTCTTGCCTGATGTACTAGGTATTGATTCAGACTCATTGCTTGATGACTTACTTTCAACAGCTTCTACCTGCTCTTCTTCGCTTCCGTCTTCATCACTCTCATTATGCTGCACTTCAAAAACTGATTCAGTCTCGCTTTCACTTTCTTCGTCGTCAAAAACATCTGCAGCCTCATATAATGCGTTTACTTCAGACGCACGGCGAGTACGAGAACGTGTATTCATTTTGAGCTAGAGAAAAAATGAAAGAAACCGATAAATAAATGTTAAAAAAATAGAAAATCAAATTTTTAATAAAAAATACTATAGAAAATGTAATATTTATAATTTACTTACGAAAAACTGTCACGATCGGTAAAATTTCAATGTAAATACTCCAAAAAATGCACTTGAACTAAGCAATATATATAATAAAACTGACTGATGATATAAAATATCGATCAGAATTCTTTTAAAATAGATATTTTAGAATTCTAATTATATAAATACAAAAAAAGAACTGAAAAACACAATTTTATGCAAAACGTTGAGTCAGATAAAATAACAAAATACTGACGCTACAACAGCACTGGGTAGCGCATACCCATAGACTGACTACGGCCGCCTATATTTTAGTCCGTATTCACATCTCAAGATAACTATGGTGGGGAATCTGTAGTGGGGATAGTAGAGATTTTTCCCCTAGGCAAAGTCACCTTCCCATTGTAACCATTTCTGAAGGAGAAATATTTTTAATTTACACCTGGGTATCCCATACCCAGTGCTTCTCTTGAGGGTTAAATGTACAAGTTGGGTTAACAAAAATTACTTGTGGCTATTTTAAAAACTACTCGTAAAAAATATTTTTTTGTTGCAGCTACTAAAAGAAGAGACTTTTTAAGAGTGATTAGTGAAATAAAAAGAAAATGACAAATTTGCATATCCGACAATGTTAATAGGGATAGGCGGGTCACTATGTATGTATGTATGTAAGTGGTATTCGTAAATGCATTTCCCATATGTTACATACGCCGAATACACAAACGCATTACGTACTCAAAATTCAGCGCCCTCTGGATAATGGATAGCACCCGTTACCCCCTCACTCCCCTTTAGCCTGCCCGTGCATATTACAACACTCATTATTACATGAACAGACAGAAAAAATGGCTCAACAATTAAGTTAGTTTGAAATAAAATATTATCAGATATCTTTCTCTATGTAATAAGTAATTTTGCTGACGTCGAACTTATGTCACGATAGCTTATCATGGTTATATATTTGAACATCTGTCTTGATAGAAATGTATGAGCAATAACAATTTACACCGTGACAGAGGGTCAAACAATAAAACGGCTATCAAGTAAATGGGCATATTTAGATTAATTTATACACGTGATAAGTGTATATTTATTTGCTATAAAATTAAAGAGATTTTATTTAATTTTCAACCGACTTCAAAAAGGAGGAGGTTCTCAATTCGACTGTATTTTTTTTTCTTTTTTTTTCCTTTTTATAGTGCACTAGCAACTCACCCTCGCTTCGCTCGGGTTCGTCCCTAGGTACGTTTTAAAGGTTAGTGTGGAATAGATAGACTATTCTGTATATTATATAATATATAACCTATAGCTTTCTTTAGTAAACGGGTTATCTTATACGAAAGAAATTTTCAAATCGGATTTGTACCTACTTCGTGATACCAGCGCGTGCAAACAAACAAACTCTGCCTCTTTATAATATTAGTATAGAAAAGAGGGGACGATCCACCTGATGGTAAGTGGATCGGCAGTCGTGATTAACTCTAAATAAAAATGAATCACTGTAATGTATGTACGCGCATAATTTCCGATCGACTGCAGCAAATTGGATTTTTTTTTGTGTTTGTTACTATCAGTACACGTTTTGAATAATATAAAATAAAACGACAAGAAAAAATGGAAGTATCCTATGTCCTTTCCAGGGTCTCAAACTATCTTCTTACCAAATTTCATCTAAAGCGGTTCAGTAGATCCAGAGATTAAATTATATTATATGTATAAGAAAAATCAATTGTTAGTATGTTATAGATTAATCTGTTGTGGTGGTCTGCTTTGGCAGACCTGCCGTCGGGGCGTCGTAGTTGAATGCGTAAGCGATCCTGCGACGCCCCATTAAGACGGGGGAAGGCTTTGTTAGGTTTTAGTGGGTAGTACTGGCTGTATTACGCCGGTGAGTCCCACACCTCGTGCGTAAATGCATTTCCCAACGTTAAAAATCTTAATCTAAATCCTTAATAATGGAATATGTATTACTAATGATATATGTATATTGTATATATGTGAATCGAGTTCTCGAATAGACTGAGCTACGACCTAGATAGTTTAACAAAGGCAGGAAAGTGATGTAGGCTAATTTTAAACTTGTTAGGTTTCTCATATGCTTCCCAAATCGAGTGGGATTATTCTATAAATAATAAGTGTTCAAATAATAGATCCAAATACAAATATCTACATGTTTATTTATAAACGTAGGATTAATATTTGGTGAAGCGCGAGACTCGAATAACTTTGCCACATTTTATTTAGTTTGTGAAATACGCATTGTATTACGAAACTACATTGCCCGCGACTCCGCTCGCGTTCAGATGACCAAAAACCAAATTCTTAGGTTTTACAGATTAGTATACTCTTACATACTCTAGGTATATATGTTTTAACGATTACCATAGATTTTTCAGAAATGAGATATTTTCTAGCAGTAAGAATTATCCTATATGTTGACCCGGATAACCAACTATCATCATATGAAATTTCATCAAAATCTATCCAGTGTTTTTTTCATGATGCGTTCCCAAACAGACAGACAAAAATACTAAAAACTACATTTATATAGATTCGGCCTTTGTATCTCTAATAATAACTAGCTTAGTGCCAATTAAAATGCACAACTTTGTAAGATGCGCTCTTTACACTAACTGCTTTAATACATGTTCGTGCCCGTTTATAGAATATTTTTTATTCAGCTAATGGTTGTGTATCACATAAAAACAATTTTAAAGACTTTATTTTATATATACTTTGATTCTTTGTCACATAAAAACTACTGAATTTTAAGGAATAAAAAAATAGTAAGAGAAATTATTTACCATGTATATTACAATATATATTATGTATAAGCACTAACACATACCCCCCTCCCTCATGAGAAGACAAAGTGGGAGTTTATTTGAAAAAAATATGATTTTTACTAGATAATTCGTAGGATTTTCTGCTCAGACCACTGCTAAATTTGTATAGAAAATATACTTCGGGGAGTTACATTACAAAAGGTGGAGGAGTTTGCTATCAAAAAAAAAAGGAAAATTACTTACTTTCTCGCAAAGCAATGATCACCCATCGGACGTCATCACGGTGCATAAAATTCATAGCGTTCACCCCGTTCACTTCATGTGTCATATATCCTGTTACAAGCGCTATTCGTTGTTCGCATTGAATTATTTCGCCGTCGATTGAATGTCGAGTTCGATATTCCATTTTGAAGGATTCTAAACTGCTTTCAGTTATAAAAGTTTCAACATGAGGCCGCACCATACCGATGAACACCTGAGAAAAAAGAAAAAATCTTACTTATTTAATTAATTATTAGATCATAATTATTAAAATAATTTCGTTAAATATTTAAAAATTTCTGTGTAACTTATAATAGGATATAGATCGTTACGCCACAGTTTGTAGAATCGAAACTGAACATAATCAATTCTTTTTTTTATTTTCATGGCAGCCTTTTTGAAATTCGCTTTTTTTCGATTTTTTATTATTTGTTGTATAGCGGCAATAGGAATACACACTTTGTGAAAATTTCAACTCTCTACCTATTACGGTTCATGAGATACAGTCCTGTGACAGACGGACGGACAGCGGAGGCTTAGTAATAGGATTCCGTTAGGGCACCCTTCTGATACGAAACCCTAAAAAGATGGTAAAAATATTTTGTTAAAAATAATTCTAAATATGATTTCCTTTCAATAAAAATATATTGTATATAGCTATGAGTGTTGATGAGCATTGACCTTTATTGTACTTCTCATACAATGTTTTGAAGGGTTTTGCTTCTACAAAAGAGTATTGAGTACAAAGAGCGTTGTTGCTTTCCAATGCAGTTCCGCAATAACGTATAAAAATAGACATAACACTAACAAAAGAACGTATCAATTTTCTTATGTGTAGTGAACCTAAAAATAGGGAAGTAAAGTTACTCGAAGATATTAAAAAGGCTTTAAGCTCAAAAATTACTGAACAATTAATTTGTTATTTAATTACTATAGAAAATTTGTATCTAATATCTGTAGAGAATACTAACTTTTTAATGTCGATCGATTGGTAGAAATTATTACAGAGTAGCCTGAAGAGTGATTTGTAACGCCTTTCTTTTGAAGTTACTCGTTTGAAGTTATTCGTTACGATCGAATAAATTTCCATGTCAAATTATTTATTTATTTAATAAAAGCATGACTTCGATACCAAATGCAAACAAACCTACGATACTTTATTTAGTTATTATTATGATAACAACTAAATTCACAAAAAATGCTATTGAATTAACTTTGAACGTCCAATTTTAAACGCAAAATTTTAGAAATAATATTTATGTTTTAATACATTACTGTATTTATAAATAGGTAGCAGGTGTGTACTGAGATATTAAGTACTATATGTAATTAACAATTTTATCAGTTTTTACTTACGATATCATTTCCACATGCAAAGGGATTATCACCTCTCGATCTCACACGGCGTCCGACATTTATGACTTGCTCCGAACGCGCTCCCGCGAGGTCTGATTTTCTAAGAGAACCCTCAACATGGCAAGTAACGTATTGTACTGCTTCAGATCTTTGTTGACTATGTTTTTTAAACCTAAAAAAACGTAGGAAAGTTTTTAGATATTAATGATCTGCAATTCAATTGAATAAACATGTGTTTTAGCAGTATTGTAATTCATCCCGTAAGGAGTTAAATTTATTATTCATGATAATAGATAAGCAAAACGTGTTACTAATCAGATTATTCGTCCCCTGAGAAAATAAAAATATTACCAGGGTCGAGTTGAGTTTAAAATCAACATTAATGCTATTGACGGCTTAAAACTTTTCAAATACTTCAAAAATTTAAGAAAAGAAATCCCGCTGAATTTCAGCCAAGTTGAAATCCCCGTACGAAATATATTTAAACAGAGTAATATAGCTCAAGTTCTCCGAAAGTGCACGCTTACTGTGCAGGATATTGGAAAGAGAAGAGATTTTTTCAAATCCAAAGGCAAATTATGCATAGCTTCTTGGTTTGTCACAGCAGTGACAACTATAACAAACGAGAGAGAGAACCTAGCTATAGTGTATCCTAATGTTTCTAACATACAAACAAAGTCTTAGCTTGGCTTTGTAAACGTGCTACACGGACCCTTAAAAAATCAGTGCTACCGCTTCTAATATCATCATACTAAAGTCTTTTGAAGAGTTAGAAATAGATTATAAAGTTGTCGATATAGTGATGAAAATGGATGAAACAGTTAACTATACTGTGGAGGTCTTTAAGAGCCTCCTTTCTCATAAGCTCCTCCTGAAGATTGGCACCTGTAACCTGACATCTGTAATGAATAAGATACCCGAGCTACGTAACGGGATTAAATAACGAGTAAGCCGTAAACGAGTAATACAACATTATAATGCCCATGTGTGCTGGATGTACTCGAGGAAAATCTGTATTTAACTTCAAATACCACTGACAATCTATGACTATTTTACTGACTATTAAATCTAATATAATTCCTCCTTAAAATTTGCTTTGCAATGACCATCAAAAAACCTCAAAACCGATCGTTGGAAGCAGCAGGGGTAGACTTTAGCCAGGATTGCTTCTTACATGGATATTTTAGCAGAACTCAGAACCAGACAGAACACCCACCAATGTGGTGCACGAAGGAGCTCTTAGTTAAATTCTAACTTCCTGTTCTCGACTTTTTACCGTAGACTAAACTAAGTGAATGTGACTGATAACATAAATGTACACATAATATTACAATTGCGACAACATATATGTAAATTCAATGGAAATTAAAACTAAGCAAATTCTTCTATTCACGCGAGAGTAGTCGCGGACAGAAAGCTAAACAAAATAAGAATGGCACTTGGAAGTAATTTAAAAGGGAAAGAAAAGTAAGTTTTATGTGTACATAACACTGGGTTTTTAAAAATAACGTACATGTTAGCCTGTTAGTATGTTAGTTAAAAGCCCATATTAGCCGAGTAAAATGATTTATAAGCCGTAAACATTGTATTCGATTTGTATTATCGTACTCTCTTTCTCTAAATTTAAAAAAATATATTTATACATATTAGTAGTAATCTTCCAATATCGAATATAATGAACCCTAAAAATGGAACAACATTTGTGTAGACTGAACTCTAGTCTGTAACTGACACTGCAAATGTAAGCGGTTCGAAATATTGGAGGTAAAACAAATTAAATTTTGCTTCATCACCGTAATTGGTATAGGGTGGATTTAAAAAAAAACCAAGTATGCAATTATTGTCATTAAGAAATGCGTATTGTTAGCTATCATGTTGTACGAGTGTCAGTTAAGTAAGTTTTTTTAACAAAATATAATTATGTTTAAAGAATGAAAATGATATCTCAATAATAACATTAATACCGTTCTTTTTTCCAATCGCAAGTGGGGGTGTGTATATGTGCGCGCGAGCGTATGTATGTGTGTATATATGTATGTAGATATGTTCCATCCTATGTTCCCTTGTAATTACTAAACAGCTTAATTGATTTTGATGATTCATACATTGTTAGATTCGTCTTGTTAAAACGTTTCGATAAAAATCAAAATGGCATATCTTGGGAGCCAATTTACTTATTTGTGTATTATTATTTTCAAACTGAAGGTTTTGAAGTGGCTTTTATTTAAAATTTATATTAAAATATTGCTTATTTATTAATGTGTCTAGTATTAATTTGACGATATTCCTCAAGAATCAAGTTAAAAAATCTACATATCTATTTGTACTTACATAGTACAACAAAAACATTACTATCAAGAAGCCAATAGAGATGTAGTCAATTATTAATATTCAATATCTATTTTTTTAAGTACTTATGAATCATAAAGCTTTTTCGTATGTTACCTGATAATAAAACTTCTTCTTTCGTTTGCGAGAGCTTCAGCGATTTTCTTTTCAGCGTCGATTTCTTTTGGTATAGACAATTCTCCTTTCGAAGTTAGCGCACATGATCTCGGGTATAGTTGATCTCTCAGTAATTGATGATCATCATTATGGACGATACTAAAGACGTTTTGGCCAAGAAGATCGAGCTGTACAGTAACATATCTAAAATATAATTAATCTGCATATAAGGTATCACCTTTAAAAACAATCCATATTAAAAAAACCGTCTTCAAAAAAACCACTAAAAAGTAAAAAAAATATCGGATTGGTATTTTTCATTTACGGTTTGCGGTGTCGGTGCGATGTCACTGTGCTTTGATTTGTATCGGCTGGCAACATCTTCGAAAATATCTGATTAGGTATCTATAGTAAATGGAAACTACAAATCAGTTATTTTTTTACTTATTATTTATATATTCTTTGTTTATTTTGTACTTGTTAGTAATTTTTTTTGAAGTCGCTTTTTTGTACTTTTTTTTCATTTTTAGTGTAGATTTTTGAAGTCGGTTGAAAATTTTATACTGATCTATGCGTACATCATTTTACACGCGATTCCAGTAAATAGAACAATACTCTATTATAGTATTGAAAGCTTTAATACATAATAGGAAATAAGGCCTTTAGTAGTGGACATTAATATTACATAACATATTACATAACCATTTTCTTTTACATTGTGATATTGATGCTAATGTTTGCTTATACAAATATTTTAAACTACTTTTGCCTCATAAATTCTTTTGCACGATGCATCATAAAAAAACCATCCAAGAGGTTAGTCTGTACGGTTTCACGTACATATTTAGTTTTGCTTGCTTTGCGCGATAGCTTTTCGAAGCGATACGTCGCTACATTTTTTACGAGTGCTTTTAAAGACTCTGAGCCAAACAGACATGGCCAGTTAGAGTCGTCAAAATTATACTATAACTTCAATAATTAAAATACTTCAAACTTATAAATATTTGAACTTGTGCACTAAAAAATCTTATAAAAACTATATTTTACTGCTCTCACTGGGACGGTACATAGTCACATAACTATTTATGTATTGTACTAATAACCATGGGCGCTAAACATACAGTATCCATTTTTTAAAATTATACATATACATATGTATAACAAATTTAATTTTATTTGCATGTTTAAACGATTATTTATCATAAAAATTAAAATTGTATTTAAACACATAAATTATGCAAAAAATTTATTAAGGCTTTAGGCTAGAGCGTAGCAGCGAGTGCTACGATATAGGTACATATGTGCATACTTATGTATATATACACACTATTATTACACGTAGCTTTTTAACTCGTTAACGCGCTCGCTTGGAAAAAGGAGTGAAGCAGGTTCGTATTCCCGGTCATGCGTATGCAACACCAGAAAATTACCAATTTCCAACTGTGTGATGTCATTTCCAACATGATTACCACTTGTCTTACGGCGAAGAAAAACAACATGAGAAAACCTGCATGTCTGAGAGAACTCAGTAAGTTTTCGAAAGACATGTGAAGTCCGCCAATCTGTACTTGGCTAGCGTGGTCTGTTCCTCTCCATATTAAAGGGAGGCTCGTGCCTAGCATGGGATGTTGAAAAGAGTTGAATACAATATTCGGGAAGTTGGACCAAGCTTTATAATTTTATAAAAATACCCAGGTATTTTAATACATTTTAAGAATATATGACCAGAAAAAATATAATACTTTGGGACTATTTCGCTTTCTTAATTTCTTGCTACTTTTCATATGAGGTTATCAATTTTCAGCTATATCATAACAACGATCATAATGGTATACTTTGTATCATATATTTGAATTTAAATACCGTATCTTCACTGTAATACAAATGTACATATGTATAGAATGCCAGTATTTGGCTAAGCCGGCATGCGATACAAAAGTAGTTCAGTCAGTCGGCAAAAAATTAATAATAATATATAATTAAAATAACTTACTTCGGAATATCCCAAATATTCTTGCACGTTCTTTGAAACGACAACTACTATTCCTTTGTATGTAATTGTGATGAGAAATCCTTTGAAATTCTTTAATAACGTTTCTGTGAACTTCATACTAAATTCCGGGCCACGGTCTATACTGCTGCCGAACACTAGAAAAAAAAAGGTATTAAAAATATTAACTGAGTAAGATAGAGGAGCCTTTAATAAATACGAGCAGTAAATGGGATTTTCCATCGTCGATATTAAGAAAAGCTTTCATAACAATTTCTATATTTCTAATTTCAAAAGTGATGAAATTTCATACAAATTATCATCTTCTATAAAACACCTTTTGAATAATTTGCAAAAATCTTTGCCTAATGATTATGTTTACTATACAATTACATATTTAATTATACAAAATTTCATTTTTTTGGACTTAGCAGTTTAATTAACAAAAAAATAAAAACCGACTTCAAACAAATGCACTAAAAAGTAAAAAATAACTGATTGGTAGTTTTCATTTACTATACATACCTAATCAAATATTTTCGAAGTCGGTGTGCTTTGCTTTGTATGAGCTGGCACCGATTTCGAAAATATTTGGTTAGGTAGGTATGTATTTAATAGGTAGGCTTTAATTACTTAGCCAAAGGAAAAATAGGACCTGTTTAGATGCCGCGTCACTAAAATGGCTGTAGTTCTCGGTAAATAATAGGAATTTTGAAAAATCTTTTTGCTTGAATGCTTAAAATTTGTAATATGAAAAAAAAAAGAAATTTAAAATATCCCCATATAGAAATAGAAATAAATATTTTACTATATGAGTGATTCAAATGGAATTTTACATCTTTTGCCTTAAAAATAATATTTTTTTCCTATTGATATATTTGGTTTAAGTCTATGAGTGACCTAGTTTGAGGTTTGTACGATTATTTAATAAATAAATAAATCATAAAAATTGACTCATAATTAGAGACACATAAACAAAAACACTTGTGTATATCCATTTTAGATATCGATTATTGTCGGTTATCTACTATTTTTATTACTTATAATTTACTTGGTTCAATGAGTTATTAATGAATTAGTGACTTATCCTCGATTCGCTCGGGCTCGTCCCGAGTGAAAAACAAAAACAAATCTATCCTAGGAAAACCGTACATTTGTCTGGGATAAAAAGCCTATGTGCTATTCCAGACTATAATCTATCTCTGTGCCCAATTTCATCTAGATTCGTTCAGCTGTTCTAGCGTGATTGAGTAACAAACATCCATCCATCCAAACTTTCGCATTTATGTAGTAGTAAGATAAGATTAAGTTTATTTTGTTTAAAGATAGTCTTTAGGAAAATCAGAGTACAGAAAGTTTTTAATTTAAAACCGATCTTAAATTCAATATATAGGTCATAGATTTCTAATGATTAATGATATAAATAAAACATTTAGTGGAGTGTACTTATGTTTAAAAAAAATGTGTGTGTAATTATGTACGCACGTAAGAAGTTATACTTCTATGGTGTAACAGAACAAAATAGCTAAAGATTTCATCCCGTATGTCACTGTGTATTTGTAAAAAAATGCAGCTAACTTTATCATGTGGCGTTTTGGCTGTCAGTGTGCGCTCGCATCGTAAAAATTTTACTCTCATAATTTTTTTTTCAAACGTGCCAAAAGAAGTATAACTTCAAAAAATGGGTAGAAAGATTTAATAAGTACTTCATATACATTCAAATGTAAAATAAACATTTGCTACCGTCTACCAAATATGTATGTATTCAGTCCTTTTTAGCGTCCCACTGCTGGGTACGGACCTCCCTTCAGTACGAGAGTAATCAGGCTATAGTCCACCAGTCTGCCCAAGTGCGGGTTGGCGGACTTCACATGCCTTTCGAAAACTTGTTAGGTTTTCTCAGACATGCAGGTTTCTTCACGATGTTTTCCTACACCGTAAAGCGAGTGGTAACCAAATTAGGAATACCACTACCAAATATATTCGTATCTAATTACGTAATTAGCAATTTAAAAATTAATTATCCATAATGGTGTAACAACTGATATAATTATTGTATTGAAATGTCAAAGGTAAATTGTATAATTAGCTTGTTTACTATAATCGTCATTTTATAAAATACAGCGATAACATCATATAGCAGTTATCTACACAGGATATATAAGAAAGCTCTTAGGAGCTCTCGTTACCGGGAAACGCTATAAGATCTCTGTCATTGACGGGGACTGAATCTTATGTAATTGGAATATTTTTGAATTAAAATACTAAACTTTCTCGTATAACGTTTTATTTATATGTGAGTGAAATAAAATTTCTGTAATATCTACTTCATGAGAGTAGTCTCTATAGATAGATATGATTACACACAAAGACGGCGTTGCGTTTTTAATTTATTGTGTTAATGTGTATGTATTCAGCCCTTTTTAACGTCCCACTGCTGGGCACGATACTCCCTTCAAGACGAGGGTAATCATACTCCCTTCAAGACGAGGGTAATCAGGCCATAGTCCACCACGCTGGCCAAGTGCGGGTTGGCGGACTTCACAAGTCTTATGAAAACTTGCTAGGTTCTCTCAGACATGCAGGTTTCCTCACGATGTTTTTCCTTCACCGTTAGGCAAGTGGTAATCATGTTAGAAATGATTCGCACATGAAAATATCAGAGGTGCGAGACCCGGGATTTGAACCCGTTTCACTCGGTTTCCCAAGCAAGCGCGTTATCACTGGGCTACCACTATGTTAATGTATTATAATATATACATGAGTAGTATAAACGGCGCCGTGCAGTTACTTATTGCATCATGTAAAGGTGACACTGGTATATTGGTATTGGCTCATATAAAAAACTTGAACCATACAAAAAATATGTGTAGTACGATATTAATTACATCATTTTCATAGTGTAATTACTCGTATCCTGAATGATATAGCTATATTAGTACTTTTGCCGTTGCTATTCATTTTTATGAAGAAAATTGTGAAATGGTGAAATATTTCGGGTACCTTTTTTAAGTTGGGAAATGCATTTACGCATACCACCTGTATATATACAGTATATTGTGTGTATATATACAGTGGTATATATTATGTACTTATATAGGTAGTACCTGTTTATGTATACAGGTGGTTATGTGGGATTTACTGGCTAAAAACCCTGAACTACCCACTAAAACCCAACAGAACCTCCCTCGTCTTAATGGGGCGTCGCAGGATCGCTTACGTACTCAACCACAACGCCCCGACGGCAGGTCTGCTGAAGATAGACCACAAAACCAAAAGATTGCTTCTACGGTCTACTCTGCTGTCAGAGAAGTACCAGCAGAAACAACCCGCATGGTACACTACCCACCGAAGTACTAACATTCAAATCCGCCCAGCCGTTTCAGCATGAAGGAGTAACAAGCACTCACACACCTACACACAACTTTTGCATTTATAATAGTGTATATCTATACTAATATTATAAAGAGGTAGTTTGTGAGTTTTTGACTTTGTGACGTTGTAGGGGGTAATCTCTGGATCTACTGACCTGATTTAGATGAAATTTGGTAAGAAGATATTTTGAGACTCTGTGAAGGCCATAGGATACTTTTTATCCCGGAAACAATCCCTTAATGGGGTGAAAATGGGGATGAAAATTTGAATGGGGAATCAAGCTAGGGACGAATCCGAGCGAAGCGAGGGTGAGTCGCTAGTACTCAATCATGAATGCGAGTAGCGAATTTATACAGCCATGTATGTAATTAGAATACTTTCTTTCAATTATTAGACTATTGTGTTGATGGCATACATATATCAGAAAATTATATGAAAACTTTGAATAATACTATAAAAAATGTTTTAAAAGAAAAAATATGGAATATGCATATTACAAGATGTAAATTTAAGAACTCTCCAATATTAAGCCAGGCCTAAATTCTAGCAATATACTGTGCGAACAATGAAAGTGGTGAAAAAAATTACTGGCATTAGATAATTTTATAATATAGCTAAATCTAAATTAGACGTGTTGGTCATCGCACCTTGTGTCCTTTCCGCGATAAGCAATAGCATTCTCAAGGAAAGTTGATGTCACAAAAGTTTTGCCAAATCCTATTAGCAGTATGGAATATGTACTGCGCCGGCCCCAAGTTGAGAAATGGACGGGGATGATGTGTTGATGACATCCGGCGATTTGTTAGGAAATAAACTCCTCTACTTATTTGACCTTACCCAAAAATCAAACTTAATCCAATAAGGCAAGTCTCTATACACACCTATATATTTTATATTTCATTAAATATTTACCTTTTATATCTATATCTAAGGATCAATTGCATAGCATTTGACTGCACGATCGGGTCGTATGTAAAATAATATGCCTTAGATACTTTAAATTTGTATTACGGATTACTTAGAAGCTTTAATTTTAATTATGTATCAAGATTCCCACTAGGTAGAGCTATACTCTACCTAGAGTATAGGAAAGAGAAATTCAGTTCGGAAAGATTTAATCCTACAACGTATAAGTAACCGCAGCAATAATTTCGTAGTATATGTGTATTATACTTCACATATTAATATGTGTGGCGTACAATGAATGAATCATTTCATATAAAATATTCTAACTATATTCATTAGTAGTTCTGCGAACAGTAGACCTCGCGTGCACAAGCTTTTTTGCAACAATTAATATACCATTAAAGTTATGTCAGCAATTGTCTGCATTTTGAGGAGCTATTCTGCTCTTCATGCCGAAGATCCTCATCAGATCTTCACCAAATTTTTATGCAACTAACTTAAAGTAAAAAAATAACCATCGAAATCGGATCTCATAAGACGGACATATTCAGTAGCCCCCTTTTTGCCCTTTTTTCGGGGAAGTACCGAATCAAAAATTGCAACTAAGTAAACTAATTTTGCTTATATTTAATTGTAACAACATGAAACTTGGAAATTGAGTGAGATTCTAATGAATAATTATTGTTATAGAAGTTTTTTGTTCAATAGAAAGAAAAATGTGTGGTTTAAATTAATTATACGAGTACATGCAATAAATAATACACTCATCCTGCATATTTTAGATTCATGTATTCCTAACATTATAAATATTTATTAATAATAATAATAACAAAGTAGTTCGCAAAAAGTATCTAAAGAGTGTATATGTGTCGTGGTTAAGTTGGAAGCTTATAAAAGTTGGGTACAATACTTAAAAAAATTAAGTTTTAAGGCTTGGTCTTTTATATTCTATACTCTTCATATTATAATGTTAATATTATAAATTTGTGAGGATGGATAGATGAATGTTTGTTACTCTTCGCGTCAGAACGACTGAAAGAATCTGGGGTCTGGAATAGGTTACTAGTAGCACATAGGTTACTTTTTATCCCGGAAAAATGAACGGGAACCGTTAGATCGTTTAGTTTTTGTCTAGGAACAAACCCGAAGTAAAGCAAGTGAGTCGCTAGGCATATATATTACGATATACTATCTACTATATCCCTCGTACTGAAGGGAAGCCTGTGCCCAGCAGTGGGACGTTAAAAATGGCTATATACATCTACTGCTATTGGCTTCTTACATCAGAATATTTTTTTTTGGTTTACAACTTACTGTTAAAAAAATTGTATTTACTTAGTCGATTGAAGTAAAATCAAGAGTTAGATTGTAAATCACATAACATATGTCTAGTAAGTTAACATCCAACAATGTTTGACACAACATAATTTCCTTAATAATTTTGAAAAAAGTACCTGAACTTTCACTCACAATTTTATAGGTTTAACGTGTGACAAGATTCATATATAATTATTGAAATATAGTAAATTGTTATTAATCAACATTGTTAGCTTTAACAATAGACCAATTAGTATAATATGGGTAGAATGCTACCTAATGTGGAATACACCTACCGACATACCGACGTGACTCACACAATAATTTGTTTGTTGCTTATTAATATTTATGATGAAGCAAAACTTAAAGTACTGCGTACATATCGTTTAATGTAAATCTGTTGTATCTATATATAAGAGCAAATAATACATTTTATATGCATTTTATATACAATTCTTCTGTACGTTTGTATGCCACTGGACTTTTCCTAATGGCTGGACCGATTTTGATGAAATTTTTAGTGGGTTCTCGGAGATTTCGGATTCACAACTGGGCCCGGTAGGTGTTGCTGCTGTCGAGTTCTAGAATTTTATGTAAAGACTAAAAAAGGTGAATACCGAATATGGTGAAAAGCATATTCGGGCAGGACGTTTGCGGGTCCGCTAGTCTTACTAATAATATAAAAAGGTAAAGTTTGTGAGTAAGTAGTAAATTTGGTAAGAAGATAGTTTGAAACCTTGGGAAGGACATAGGATAGTTTTTATTCCGGAAATCATCCCTTAAGGGGGTGAAAATGGGGATCAAAGTTTGTATGGGGAATCAACCTAGGGACGAACCTAAGCGAAGCGATGGTGATTAGCTAGTATTATATAAAACACTCATTTAAGTGCTGTATAGTATACGCGTTTATGTTGTAATATGTAACTGCTTAATATCTTATTTTAATTCTTTTTACGTTTTACTTTTATCATTATAAATATTTTTCTTTACGTTACCACTAAAACAGAATTGGTCTTAAAATTTACCACTTGTATATTTTATTTTCGTGGGATACATAATAAAAATTCCACGTACACGAATCTATACCCATGACCATCAAATTCCATTATTAAAACCTGGTTTAAATAGATGTAATCCATATACGTATTTAATATTATAAATGTGAAAGTGTGTTTGTGTGTTTGTTTGTTTGTTTGTTTGTTTGTTTGTTTGTTTGTTTGTTTGTTTGTTTGTTTGTTTGTTTGTTTGTTTGTTTGTGTTTCTTTCACGTCTAAACTGCTTGGCAGATTGGCGTGATTTTTTGTGTATAGTTAGTTGGAAGGCTAGAGTGTGACATAGGCTACTTTTTACCGCGGGAGATTATCTCTTTCCTACGGGAAAACACGTTATAATACAATTGAAAAATTTATTTCTGTTCAGAATAACTTGAAACTTGGCATAAATGCTCTTCAATAAATTTAAATAAATACGTGTTTAAGCATTTCTCAAAATTCATACCATAAGGGTGTAAAATAGCGGATGTAAGTTTTTATTAAACCTCCCATTTTAGAGTTTTTTTGTAGTTTTAGCGCGAGCGAAGCTCCGGGTTCTGCTAGTTTTATATATTTTACAAGTAAGAACAAAATACGATGTACTCTAGTATCATTTAGTCGGGCGTCAATTATGTATGTGTAGACATTCCATAACAATTACAAGACGGAATGTGGTGAAACTAGAAAATTAATCACAAAACAGCATATATAAACTAGATCAAATACGATACTGCGTTGTTAGATAATAAATAATTTATAATATAAAATGAGAACAATATTTAATACTTTTTGTAACGTAGTTTTAATTAATTAGCATTATGTCATCAGATAGAATATTCATAGCAGAAAGATATGGACTGCGCATTTAAAGATAGGTGTTTTTTGTCTAGTATTACCAAAATACGTAAAAACATGAAAATATTTGCCGTCATTCTTAGAGACCATTGTGTTTTCGAGCGGAATTATCCTGACTAATATTGGCTTCTACGTCGTAGTTCGTGGGTTTCATTACATACATATAAAGAGCAAGGAAGCCTGATTATCGTTGGTTTCTACGAAGAAAAAATCGAAGTCTACTGCCTGATAAAATACAAAGTCGCAAAAAAATTGAGCATTTTATTTATATAAATCAACGTTTAAATAATAATGTGTGGCCAGCCTTTTTTCGCGGCTTTAATCGCAAGAATGGATAAATCGAAAACACTCTTCCTAGTCAAATATCCTTATACACTTACCAATTTTCATGATGATTGGTTGAAAGAAAAGAATTTATTGAATAACTAGCGGAACCCGCGGCTTTGCTCGCGCAAAAACTTCTTTGGCTTTATGTTATCTATACTAATATTATAAAGAGGTAAAGTTTGTGTTTGTGGCGTTGTAGGGGGTAATCTCTGGGTCACTTCCCACTATTTTACATCTATATATATATATATATATATATATATATATATATAGATGTAATATATATATATATATATATATACCACGGAGATATACCACCGCCTATTTATCAACTCCGGGATGCTAATGAGAAGTCCCTAACAGAAAAACCTAGTAACTAAATTTGGCCTGACGCGGGACTCGAACTCAGGACCTCCAAATCTGCGGCCGCACATGGTAGCCACTAGACTACCGAGGCAGTTTGAGTTTTCAGTATTTATTAAATTTTCAGTAGGTACATATTTAAATCTTTATTAAGTTTGATTCAAATCTTTAAATCTATGATTTGATTTTTATATGGGCATTAAAGTCGGTTAGATAAGTCAGGATAATCTCACCATGCTGATGGGAGCGCAGGTAATGCGCAGCTAGCCGAAGCACGCTGGTTTTGTTCAATTTGCGACCCTGCCTGGTAACCGTCGGCACTATGGAGGCCAGTCGGCGAACGGACTGATTCATTTTGTCCCGCCTCTGCTTTTCCGCCTTGTTGCGGATCTCCCGTGGATTTTCCCTAAAATATAGATAAGAAAACTAAATTTCAAATGCAACAATTATAATTTTACTGGCAGAAACCGCGACGTCGCTCGCGCTAAAACTACAAAAAATCTATAAAAAGGTAGTTTCACACAAACATACATCCCCTATTTTACTCCCGTATAGGATGAATTTCGAAAAATGCTAAAACACGTATTTATTTAATTTTATTGAAGAGTATTAATACCAAGTTTCAAGTAATTCCGATCATAAATATATTTCAGTATTGTATTATAACGTGTTTTCCCGTGGGAATTAGATAATCTCCCGCAGTAAAAAGTAGCTTATGTCACTCTCCAACTATATCCATACAAAAAATCACGCTAATTCGTCACTCTGTTTCGACGTGAAAGAAAGACAAACAAACAAACACACTTTCACATTTATAATATTAAGTATGGGTAACTTAACGACTTCAATATCACTTGATTTTTTCCGACATTACGTGATATTTATTAAGTATCCTTTAGGAAATTGAGATTATAGGCTATTATTATATTATTACATAAAAATAATTATATTATTTGCAACTATAGATTTTTTTTTGGAAATTCAGAGATCAACATGATGCCATTCTACAATTGTTGAGGAATAGGAATTTAAAAAATTGTCATGATAATGACTTAAATTATGATGATCATGACAAGTCATTATTTTTTTTTTATTTCAATTTGTATTTCCTTAGGAGCTTAAGCTAATACAAAATAATGATGATGATGTCCTCCTGACCGATTCCGGCCACGGCGACCAATCTCATTGAGACTAGCCAACTGCGCAGGAGATATTATAGTGCACAAGTGTACGCGCAGACACAACGTGCACTCTCTATTCCTGTCACTCTCATACTTCGGTGGGACGACTACTCGACACGACCGGTGAGAGATAAGGCGCAGGACCGACGGCTTTACGTGCTTTCCGAGGCACGGGGGTGAAACACCGCCAACTTCCCAACTCCGGGCTGTTACTGAGGCTTACTATACAGAAAGACTCAATAACTAAACTTGGCCCGACCCGGGACTCGAACCCAGGACCTCCGGGTGTGCAGCCGTACATGCTAGCCGCTATACCACCGAGGCAGTTTACAAAATAAATACAGCTCTAACAGAATAAGTTAAATACAGAAGTACATATCTAACACATTAGTAATATTAAAATATTCAAAATTTAATGTTGGAATTTATTAAAAATGTGTTACCAAAGATGTAGATATGTACCTATTTGTTCTATTATATTACATCTCAGGTTAGTATATCGGATGACCAGCAATAAGCTAGCTAACACTTGTGTTATAATTATAAAACATCCTGTTACTTGATCTATAGCTTTGTATTAAACTTTAGCATACTTAAAAGTATATATTTACTTTATTATGAGCTCATACCGAAAAAAGCTTTTATATTCAAAATATATATGTTACAAACTTATTTGTATGTGGGGATAAATCTATCGAACTTCTATGAAATCTATGGATTATTTCTAAAGAAATAGTCTCGAGTGATATAGGAAATGGTAACACTCAATATAAATTATTTGTGCAAAGACAAAAATATTTGATGATCCACTTTCTGAATTAATCAATAAATCAATCAGCCTATCGCCGTCTACTGCTAAACAAAAGTCTACTCCAATGAGCGCCCACCATGCCGGTGCTGGGCAGCCCGCATCCATCCACTGCCCCCCACCTTTCTTAGATCATCTGTCCAGTGTCCATGGTGCTGCAAGGCATCCCACAAACTTGTTCCAACACAATCAGTTGAGTATAACTGCTTTAAATTTCAGTTGCAACATTTGACCAGACCAAATATTCATACAAACATTGCAAGTTAAATAAAAGCTTGTAATAGGTATATGAGATTGAATGACGAGCTGACATGTTTTGACAACGTGATTCGTCAAGAAAATGCCAAATTGGCTCAGCCATTTAAAGATTCTTCATCGGAATCTATACTGATTACTAACAATATTATAAAGAGGTAAAGTTTGTGAGATTGTGATTTTGTGACGTTGTAAGGGATAATCTCTGGATCTACTGAAACAATTTAGATGAAATTTTGTAAGAAGATAGATTGAGACCCTAGGAAGGATATAGGATACTTTTTATCCTAGAAACCATCCTTTAAGGGGGTGAAAATGGAAAATCAAGCTCAGGACGAACCCGAGCAAAGCGTGGGTGAGTCGCTAGTTTTTAATATTTTAATTGCATTCGTGTGAATTTTCCTTTTTCTAATAATATGCCAATGAAGTTTTTGCTTGATATTAGCTTACTTGGTGGATTGAACTAAACATATAATAGACTAAAAATGCTACGCATAGAATATAATATCTTTACATATAGGAATGTCTAGGTATAGATACTACTATTATAACATCAAATGACGAACTCAAGACTTCTTTCAGAAACTCATAAGGATCTTTATAATATGCATGTTCCTCGAGATGTTTTCCTTTAAAGTATTAAAAAGTAGTAATGATGTTGACAATGAAATTCGATAGTGAAATTCTCGGAGATGCGTGGTTTGAAATCGGTTGAAGCATTTCTAAAGCGAGCGAGCGTCCTAATATGAAGGGAAAGAATTCATGCTAAAGATTCATGCTTAATAGTTAATTATACTAATATACTAAATAGATATAAATACGCAATCGAAAACATAGTTAGAATCTAGTAAGTTATAATTTTGTAGGTGGTGATATATTCGTCATTAAACGGACAGTAATAATTGACTGACTTTTTGAATTATAAATGCTGCTAATATTTATAATTGAATTGATATTATAAAAATTTACCAATATTATAAAGGCGAAAGTTTGTGAGGATGTATGAATGTCTGGATGTATAGATGTATGAAAGTTTGTTACTCTTTGACGCAAAAACTAATGGATGAATTGTAATGAAACTTATTATCGATGCAGAGGCCGAATCTACAGTTTCTAGATTTTTTGTCTGTCTGTCTATCTGTTTGTCTGTCTGTTACCGCATCACAGAAAAACCACTGGAGGGATTTTGATGAAATTTGGTATGGTGATATCTGGTTACCCGGGTCAAATATAGGTATAGGATACTTTTTACAGCGGGAAAATATCTCATTTGTGAGGAAAAATACAAAAACTTTAATGTAAGAGTATACTAATATGTAAAGCCTAAGAATTTGGTTTTTGGTCATCTGGCGCAGCCGCGGGCAATTCAAGTTGTAGTATAATTTGATAGAATGTATTAAAAATTAACGACATTCTATTACATATTACGTACATACAATATACTGTCTGGCCGTTTGTAAATAATTATATACCCGTGGAAATAAATTCAAATTATTTAAAGCCATTAAAGAGTCTCCTGCTATTCATTTAACGTTTTATCGATTACAGAATATACATATACTATATTAACTTTGAAAATAATGTGTCCGTTTGTTACATTCATTTATTTTATATAAATGAATTTGACGACATGTTTGGCTCAGTTTGTATTGACCCTACTTGCTGTGCCAGCGGTCGCGGGTTCGAGTCCCGCTGGGGGCATTCATTGGTGTGATGAGTACGAATGTTTGTACTCTAGTCATGGGTGTTTATATTTATAATATGTATGTATTTAAAGTTATATATCTGTAGTGTATCAACTATCTAGTATCCATAACACAAGCCTCGTAGCTTACCATGGAACTAGACGGCGCGGTGTCTTAATAAAAAAATAAAAAAATGAAAGTAATAGATCCAGAGACACGCCAGGTGTGTATTGTTATTGTTATAATTGTCTATACTCATTGTATTCAGCTACTTGTTTAATCGGTTCGGCGTAGGTGCTTTAGAAAATATTATGCGAGGTCGGCCTGACTGTCTGAGATCTGTCTGGTATCTCACTTGTACTGCAGCCAACGACATTATTACCAAAATATAAATAATGTAAATATAATATAATAAAAATAATATAAATTTCTCAAAGATGACATATTTTCCCGCAGTAAAAAGTATCCTATATGCTGACCCATATAACCAGCTTTCACCATACCAAATTTCATCAAAATCCCTCAAGTGGTTTTTCTGTGATGCGGTAACAGACAGACAGACTGACAAAAATTCTAAAAACTACAGATTCGGCCTCTGTATCGATAAAAATGTCTATTTCAATAAGATTTTCTTAAAAATATTTAATGTACAGATTCGACTCAGAATTTTATTATACATACATAATAATATGTATAGATATTTCTTAATTCCACACATTTCCATCAACAAGTAACTTTTGAACAGAATAAAACACTTTACTCAGTAAAATATTTTATCTTGAAATTATTGAAAAGGTAAATCTAGAATAGTTTGTGGAATCTTATTATATATGCGTATACTCAGGCCCATTAAGGACTAATTCTCCTGCTAAGTCAAAATCTGGGCGTAACAGACGTATTTCTATTTCTTGTGTTTATCGTGTGCTTATCACTGGTTTTTTTTAAATAATTTTTAAAATTTTTGCGAACAACGAGGAATCACGAGCTTTTATATTATAAATAGCACGCACTGCTCTTTTTTAAAGACTTGTTATAATCATTCAATTTTAAAAGACAATTAGATTTACTCACGTGAATTTATTCTACGCTTTTAACATAAGGACTTAACTACACATATTTTTTTTCTCAAATATCTATATATTTTATGAATTAGTCTATTATTAGAATTGTTAGTCATATTTTAACTTATACAATACATCCAAGTTAACATGAAAGTAAATAACTAAGGAACAAACCTTATTTTACTAGTTTTTGATTTCCAAAATTAAACCACTTAATCGATTCCATACATGATTGGAAACGAAATAAGCAAATCATTGCTATTGAAAACCATAACCGTATATTCGAAGAAGTTCTGTTATAGAGTGCGTATACACACTCGTATGTATGCAATAAACAATATTATTTACAGTGTAGTGGTGAAGTGGCCTTACGTTACACATTGCCAAACTCCAATTTGTTTTTACGATCTGACACG